AATGTAATAACATGCGAGGAATGAGTACAAATGAAGTATTTTTTCCTCCACCTGCACAACAGAATAAAATAGTTGTTTTTTATACATTCTGTTGAAGGCGATTTGAATTGATAAAAAAGAGCATTAATAATAATAATTGGCTGGCAGAATGATTTGGCATTAAGAGGTCTTTTGTCTAAGAAAACTAGTTCATAGAATCATTACATACTTTCATTAAAGTTGAAAAGTAAAGAAACTGAGTTACCCCAAAACTCTGGAGTCTGAAGCAGAGACTGAAAAAATTCAGTATGGCTGAGTGTAAGGAGTAAGTGCTATATAATGCCCAAAAAAGGATTGTAATGTTGCCACACATACCTCAGAAAAGTTGCCCCACTCGGGACTCCAGGTGGGTGGACACTTTTGCTGTTCTGAGAGGTCTGTGATTTGTGCTAATAGGCATCATATTGTGTTAATAATAACAGCAATTGCAGCAACAGCTAAGACGCATTGAATGTTTTTTATGAGCTACACAGACATTCTTTACATGTATCAGTCCAATGAGGAATGTTATCCCTTATTACAGATAAGGAAATTAATACTCAGATAGGCTTAGGTCACATACTGCTAAGGGGAAAGGGGTGGGATCAGTAGTGTGCTGAAGTTGGCTTGTACAGGTTTCTGAGAACTGACTGTGCACATCTCTTCCCAATAGTGTGTTCAACACCACCATGTTGCTAGCTTGAATTTGGCCATTGTGGGAGACTTTACATTCCCAAAATTGACAAAATGCCACAGATCCTGTGGTAGTATTACTGCATGATCTGTGGCATTTTGTCAATTTTATATATAATTTATAATATATAAAATATACATTAAATATTGTATATAAAATATATATTATATATTATTCTATATATACATAATATATATGTATATTTTTCCCCCAGAGAACTCATTGACAAACATTCTAACAAATCACTAGATAGGATTCAAACCCAGGAGATTTGACTGGACAGCATTTTGGCAAAGATGGATGCCTTCAGGCCAAAGTATTGATAATAGTATTAACAAATTTCTTACTGTGTGAACCACTTTTATTTGGCTATTTTATTTCTTGCAACCAAATGTGCCCTGATTTATTTTTAGCAGTTTCTCAGAGAATTGTTATGAGGGTTAAATGAGATGATGCATTTGGACCAGTCAGGGCAGGGCTTTACTGCCATGTAGGAACACATAGCAAAGATATGGTCCTAACATCATTGCAGTCATCTATTTCTAGATACTTCTCTACTTTTGCAGAAGCCAATGAGTGGCAAAGTATGTTATCTGTACTTCATCTCTCTTCCACAGTCTGCAGCCCAGGGTAAAAGATAGATGAGTTAAAAAGAGCAGTCATCAGAATAATCCAGTTGTGTTAGTCTACAAACCAGCTATGCCACTTCTAAGCTCCACGAAAACAAAGCCTGAACAATTGCAAACTTATATGTTACCTTAGGATGCCCTCCCACCCTGCACCTGCCCTCCCTTTTCCAGCCTCTCTGGGGCTTTGGAGTAAGGTCAGAGTGATGCTGATTGAGCCTGAATTGTGACCAAAAGGACATCTGTAGCACATGACACCATTTGGCAAAACCCGAATCAAATTTTAAGAGATATGGCGCTATCGAAGTTGTGTCATTGGTCTGGGGTAATAAGTGAGGTTCCTGGTCTCATGCCAAGGAAATTGAAGATGTGGACACACAAGTAGTGGCTTTTAGAGTAGAAGTTTAATAGGTAAAAGAAAGGAGAGAGCTTCTTTGTGCAGAGGAAGGGGCCTGAGTGGGTTTCCTGGGTTTGGGGGAGAGTTGGTTGGTTTTATAGATGAGCTTGAGGAGGTGGTGTCTCATTTACATAGGGCGTAGTGGATTCGTTGGACCAAGTGTGCTATTTACGTAGTGCCAGAGGAGGGTGGCCATCCCACCCTAATCTTTTATTATGCAAATGAGGTCTTTACCTGGCCCACACCAGATTACCTGCCCAAGTGGCAATAAAGAAAAGGGAAGAGGCCGGGCGTGGTGGCTCAAGCCTGTAATCCCAGCACTTTGGGAGGCCGAGGCGAGTGGATCATGAGGTCAAGAGATTGAGACCATCCTGGTCAACATGGTGAAACCCCGTCTCTACTAAAAATACAAAAAATTAGCTGGGCATGGTGGTGTGTGCCTGTAATCCCAGCTACTCAGGAGGCTGAGGCAGGAAAATTGCCTGAACCCAGGAGGCGGAGGTTGCGGTGAGCCAAGATGCGCCATTGCATTCCAGCCTGGGTAATAAGAGGGAAACTCCGTCTCAAAAAAAAAAAAAAGAAAAGAAAAAAGAAAAGGGAAGGGAAAACCTCCTGGAATATACCTGATTTCCAGGTAGCCCTTTTTTTATTGGTACAGCTGCTGGCATTTACCTATGGAAGCTTCTAGCTTGCTTATCTATGCCTGCAGCTTCATTTTTCAGGCTGCTTTTTGTTAGAAACGAAATGATTTTGGACTGCTTGTTATTGAAAAGAAATTCCACCAAGGGCTCTTTTACTTTTAATAACTGCCTAAATAATTTCTTTTTCTTTCTGCTCCCCTCTGCTCCCCTTTCTTTGCAGCTGTGTGGTCCGTGATCTTCTCTAACCATTGCCCTCATAACCTGTCACCGTGGTTTTGGGTGACTTTGTATGTCCTGCCCTGAACACATCCAACATTTTCATGTGTCAGACTTCTAATAGCACCTTCCCCTGCTACCTGCCTCTACACCTGAAGATCCAGGTGTATTCTGGTCCTTGTCCATATCTCGAATGCAGCCCCTGTATACCCTATGTCCTATCTACCATACTTATTATTTGTTGCAATATACTTTCTATTTTATTTTTTTTAAGTGAGGATTATATATATATTTTTAAATGAGATTCTTTTTGTTTTTTTGAGTTGGAGTCTGGCTCTGTTGCACAGACTGGAGTACAGTGGCACGATCTTGATCTTGGCTCACTGCAACCTCTGCCTCCCTCATTCAAGTGATTCTCCTGCCTCAGCCTTCCAAGTAGCTGGGACTATGGGTGCCTGCCACCATGTCTGGCTAATGTTTTGTATTTTTTTTGTAGAGATGAGATGTCACTATGTTAGCCAGGATGGTCTCGATCTGCTGATCTTGTGATCCGCCTACCTTGGCCTCCCAAAGTGCTGGGATTACAGATGTGAGCCATTGCACCCAGCCTAAAATGAGATTCTTGAAGAAAATAATAGTGTTATCTCTGGAAGGCAAACTTAAAGTCACCTTATATTTTGCTTTTCCTATACTTATTTTCTACATTTTCTATAATAAGTGAGTGATTTCTATAACCAAAAAAAGTATTACTTACAAAAGGATAAATGAAGACAAATCTTAAAATAAATCTTCATCTCTATTCATCCAAGAAGCAAAGGACACTTGGTAAACTATTACCACCTACCCTATTTAGTGGGCTGGAGACACGAACTTTCTTTGCCTGCATTACCCACTCCATTTCCCAGGAGACATTAACAACACACCATGATTGAAGAACTAGGGTCTTATGTGTTTAGAGAAAGAGGTTTAAAATATTTTATTAGAGAACACATGTCAATATTGAACAACACTTAAATAGGTGGCATCCATATTTATAAGGACAATATAAATTTTTATAATTTGAACAGTCACTTTCAACAAATTTATTTTTATCAGTGGGCATGATCCATAAAGTATATTTTTTCAATAATTTATTCATCTGCTTAGTACTATATACATTCATTTTCTTTGAAAAGAAACATAAAACTAACATGATTGTTTACCACATCACATCATAAACAGATAGACCTGTAAAAATGGCATATAGAAAATTCAGAAACACTTAAACAGCACATTCCAAGGATATTGAGTCCATGTAAGAGAAATTAAATGCTTTGAAGCCATTGTAGTCAGCCTGGGTGTCATGTATATACATTGATACAAAATGTTGCCACAAATTCAAGTATAATGATTCACACACATAAATATATTATTCTGACATAGAGAATGCTCCCTTGAATAGTATAGAGTGCATACCAAACTCTCAGCACAATTCAGATTAACTTTTTTTATTTTTGTAAAATGGAAGAAAAGGTAATGACATTACCAACTTACTCGACCAAATACCAAACCTGGAGAAGGTGGACATGGTTCACAAATGCTGCACAGTTAGAAATTGCACCTTACAGGGATTGTCGTTGTCACAACAATTGCTAAAGGTTACAGAAACACCGTAGCAGCTAAAATCAGCCAGTCAGCCCACATTTGCTTCTCTGGCAATGTGGAAATGCTGTGTTTGTACTTTGAACAAACGTAACAACGAGACAAGCAAAAATGCTGCAGCAAGCCAGGAAGTGTCACTGGGTTCATGGTTAAATGGCGTCAGCTTTATTTACTAATGTATAATTTTAATTTCACAGGCAAAATGAACCTCCAATTTTTTTTCCTTAGCCCCAGCAAGTCAAGTCCTTCTAAACTGCTAGCTGATTGCAAAAGTGGAGCTTCAAGTCTGTCCCTTTTGCTTCCATTTCCCCCACCACCTTTGCTCCATTTGTAACACAAGTAGACACTCTTTCTTTCTTTCTTTTTTTATTTTTGAGATGGAGTCTTGCTCTGTTGCTAGGCTGGAGTGCAGTGGCCGGATCTCAGCTCACTGCAACCTCCGACTCCCGAGTTCAAGCGATTCTCCTGTCTCACCCTCCTGAGTGGCTGGGACTACAGGTGTGTGCCACCACGTACAGCTAATTTTTGTATTTTTAGTAGAGCCAGGGTTTCACCATGTTGGCCAGGGTGGTCTCAGTCTCTTGATGTCCCGATCCACCCACCTAGGCTTCCCAAAGTGCTGGGATTACAGGCGTGAGCCGCTGCACCCGGCCCTGACACTCTTACATGCTTCAATGTAGTATGAGATGTGACCCTTTGATGATGTGAAAGCAGCCTTTGGGGATATTATAGTGATTCAGTTATTTTCTGCGTGGTTTTTTTTTTTTTTGTTGTTGTTGTTAGAAAAACTTGTTTTTTAAAAACATGCTGCATACCATCTTCTTGCTAAAAACAATTCCTCAATTAGTAGTAACACTGAATTGCCTTGCATATGATTTGCTTGTTAAGACATCCAAAGCATTTGGTTATTCATAAGAATTAGACACTTCCATTCTTGAGCAAATATTTATTTGTGTGAAGAGAAAAATAGACCTTCTCCTTTTTTTTTTTCTTCTTTTTTTTTTTCTGTTTAGCCATCCCTTTGTAATGCTGCACTAAGCCTTGAGAACAAAGAGAATCAGACAACCAGGAAAACAAGGCTTTGTGATTTTCAGCCAAGCCAAACACAGTCACTGTCAGGAGAGCCCTGGACTTACCACTGACTGGCTGTTTCAGTGATTCTGTCTTGGCTTAAAAAAAGATTGAGAAGAAGAGCAGTTGTGTGGTTTGCCTGGGGGAACTTGGGAAATGGGAGTTTGTACAGCCAAGTGGCCTCCATGATAAGCAAGACTGCCTTCCCTGTGCCCTGAGCTGTGGGAGGAGGCAGCACTCCCAGCACACACCCGAGGTTCACAAGCCGCTGGGCCTTTGCACAGATTCCTTCCTTCCTTGCCTGGAACAACTGCTTCTGTTCCCCACCCCACTATGTCCTCTAGGATTCACCATAGAGATCACCACTTTTGAGAATCCTAACTCTGCAGCCTGCTGGGGCCCTTCACCAAGCTCCCATGGCCCTGTATCAATCTCGTAGGTTCTTGGAGGGCAAGGACTCTGTCTCTACTCTTGTTATGCTCCACTTCCTGGACGTGGCCCTGGAGCACAGTCAACCCTCACTGAATATTATAGCATGAATCAAGAAATCAGAGAGCAGAGAGTGCAACAGCAGCTCTCTTTGAATGAAGGGGATTTTGTTTTGCAGCATGAGTTACATGGCTGTGAATGTTCTAGACTTTGAGGGACACTAACTTTTACAAGTGAAAAGTGCCTAACTTACTTTTCTTTTAAAAATATTTTATTCTGAAAAATTTCAAACCTGCACAGACATGGAAGAACTGTGTGTGGCCTTGTCTGCCATTCTTATTTCGTCTATCACCATTTCTTACCCACTTTTGGCAAGAAAATTTTAAAGCAAATTGTAAACATACTTCGATATGTACCTACCAGTTAAGGACAATGCCATTATCACATCTAACAAAATTTAAGGTAACTATCTAATTATCTAACATCAAATAGGACCCAGCCTATGCTTCATCTTCTCCAATTACTTAAAAATGACTTTTTATACTTAGTTTCAATAAAGATCTAAATCAACAAAGTTTATACATTATACTTGATGAATATATATCTTAAGAATATTTGAACCCACAAATTTCCCTTTTTTAAAATGCCATTTACTTAAGAAACTTGGGTGTCTTATGGAATTTCCAGCACCCTACATGTGGCTAATGATTCTTAATGAACTTTTAAGAATGAAATGTGGGAGCGAGGTTGTACTAAACTGATTTGCAAAAAATCCAGGTATTTGTCCCCAAAGGCTCTTTTCTTCTTTCCCTTAGCATTCATAATCATTAATTCATAATAATCATTAAGTTACTGTTTTTCCTGCATAAGCAAAAGTAATATATTGGATTTGTGTCTTAGATGAATGCTTGATAAAGAAGTAAATCCATGTGTCAGGCAAGGCTGCTGGCTCCTGGGCTCCTGGGGTGGATTCCAAAGACAGTGGGTAGCAGGACAAGTGGTAGGTTTCATGCTCCCCTTCCTCGGGCAGTAAGGACAACAGTTGTGGACAGGAAGCTGGCTTCATGTCATGGGTGTGTGTCCCTTTAAAACACAAGGTTGACTAACCTTTAATTAATCATGCATTTTTAATATCCTAGGCATCATGTATCAGCGTGATCACAATTTTATCTTTCTGTAAAGAATTCTTTCACCAAACTTAGTGTATCCATTTTTACAATTTCAGACTTTGGTAGAGTGAGTTCTTAAATTGAGAACCCCTCTAATTTCCTCATTGGCCAGACTGATCACATTCTGCTCCCTGTGAGATGATGCTTTTGGTCTTCTTTCTCCAAACACTAACAGAACTGAACCCTCTTCTTTTTAATTTGGGCCAACACCGATCTGTTCATCCTTGAAGCTGCTTCTCAAAATCCAGAAGACTGAAATAGCCAAAGACTGTGTTTATATAAAGCAGAGTTGGGCCAAGAACCTCATCCCCAAAAGTGACTTTTTTTTTGAGATTTGGAGTCATGAGAGACCATTTGGCAGGGAGATGGCAGCAAGTCCCTGCCAAATTCAGCCTCCAAGCATGGCCGACTGCCCCGTCAGCCTGAGTCATGGTGAGCTGAGCTTGCAATGTGGACTTCCCTGTGAAGACACCTGCCTAGAAGGCTCCTGGAGACCACTTAAAGGGTGCCCTAGAAATGTCTAGACTCGACTAGCAGAACCTGAAATTAGCACTGAGATTGTGACCTTGAGTTTCCATGAGATAGATTTCAATTTGCAGTGAAATCAAAATGGCCTCTGTTCACGATTGGGAATTTGCTGTTTTATCTTGGTAAATGTTTACTTCCAACAGTTGCCCAAGCCAAGAGGTGCTTAGCCCTATTTCCTTAGATGACTTTACATCTAAGCTTTGCTTCAGATGCTCTACTGTCTTCCAGTGATCACAACTACTTCTCTTTTCCATAACATCAGTTACATAAACACACACATGCACACACACACAGGCGGACACACACACATTTTCTATAATGATGGCATTTTATGTAGTATCCTTCATAGGGCAACTATGATAATTTAAAATACCTCCTATTGCAAAGCAAGTAGCCAATGTGAGGAAGATGACAAACACCAGCCTTGGATACTCTTGTTCTGGGTTGTCTGCAATTCAGAGAGCTTGGTGGAAATCTTCAATGTAGTGCAGTTTGCCTGATTTTTAAAAGCTAAGACAAATTTTCCAAGTGGGGATATTTCCAACCCGAAGTAAACAGTGTAGTGTGTGGAATAACTGAGCACTGGGATTTGGTGCCTAGCACTTTCAGTGTAGGAATGACAGGACCCAAGCTGTGGTGCAGCAGGTGCTTTGGGACCTGCCTTCTAATTACAGAGAAATGAATGTCTTCAGGTGGGGATGACCAACTCCTGGAAATGAAAACCTGAAGTGAGATAAAGAGCAAAGGAAAGTGAAGGACTTATTTTCCCTTTTCCTGCACGTGGCACATTCAGTGCTTGAAGATACCTTACCCTTGATCTAATTTAGAGTTGTGTCTTATTTAGCTAGCATTTGAGAGGGGAAATGAAGACGGGAAAAGAGTGTTAGCATTTATTGGGGGCCTACTATGATTTCTTAGCTTTATCAGCTCATAAGCGTTTCATGTACACAATTTTATCTGCTAATCCCATTTCACAGGTGAGGAAAATGGCTTAAGAGAGGTCACGTGCCTTATTTAGGGCCACTTAAATAGGTACAGAGATTGAGACTGCAATTAAGCTTAGGTGTGTGGCTTTCAGTCCATCAGCCACTGTCTCTGAACTCCATTTTCCAGGTCCTTCCAATGCCCTTCCTAGCATGGGTCTTGGAGTGGCTTTGGGAAGGTCACATTTAGCAAGCTGAGAAGTGAGCATAGGAGCACACCAGGAGAACATACAAAAGAACACAACTCTTTCCAATCTGTCTCTTTTTTCAAAACTCCCTGCAGACCTGACTCTCTTTACTCTTCTCATATCCATATTGTTGTATTTATTCTCTGGGAAAATATTTCTTTTGTAATGTGACTGCGAAATCTCATACCTTACCAAAAAGCTCGGCATGTAGTAGATACTCCAAAAGAATGATTTTTACTTTTTAAACGTTAGCTCTGCAAAAATCATCATATCATCATGGATGCATTATAGGGAGCAAAATGATTTTGTTGTCAGCATTGTTGGGATAAGTTTCTGTGTTAATACTGGAGAGCGAATTTCTTGTGACTTGTTACACCCAGAGATAAAAATAGTTTGTTTTCCCCCACATCTGATGAAGAAAGCATGTGTTTTTGATTCAGCTTTAAATGCTGAGGCAGAATTTCTGCTGCACAAATATCAGCTCTCACTTACTGAAGTTTAGGTATCAGGGTTGTACGTGATGTTCAGAAGAGCAAGAGGGGGCCAGGCAAGCTGCTGGGAATGGAGATGAGAGCAAGGGAGGGAGCTCAGTTTTTACTCAATTACTTCCTAATAAAAGTTTGACTCTTTTTTTTAAGTATGTAGAAAACTAGCAATAAATTGTTACTTAAATATTTGTAATGCTTGTTTTGATCTTAAAAATACTTCACAGGTGTTCTTTTTAATAGCTTTTTACTTGTCAGATTGAATTTGAGCATTCTTATTTGTAGATTCAAGCTGCTTACTCAGCATCTGATTCATGAAGGTTCCCCTCTTCTCTGCTCTTTACGACTACTGTCACCTCTGTCATGACTCCAGGACTGACTGGGGGAGGCACTCTGGGGCATGAATACTCTGCCTGATGCTCAGCTTTTGACTAATGGGCCACAGCTCTCCCATCATGTGAGGCTTCAATTAGCCTGTCTTTTGATTGTGAGAGATAAGGCTGCATTTAACAGCAGGAATGAAGACAAGGGAGGGGAAGAAATGCAATTTTTAAGGATAAATCAGTAAGCCATTGCTATATTTTTCGAACTTGGTTTTGGATGGCTTTTGGCTTGAATAGACTGAATCCTTTTGTAGGGTTTGCCTTTTGTTGTGATTTTTCCCCCTGTTGTTTCCAGACTGGACTGAAGCTGGTGCATCACGTGACTCTAGACAGCCAGGGTATTCTGATGTGATTGACACTATGGAACCAGAAACACTTCCAACCTGAGAGTCCCCAGGGAGTGAGGAGGGAGATAGGAGGCCACAGCAGCATTGTCTCTTGCCCAGCAAACACAACAGCAGATGCCATGCAGCTAGAACAGTCCTGCTTCTTCCAAATGAGGATAAATGCGTGTCGTTTCTCAGGAACCAGGGCAGAAGAGAATATATCACTCTGTGGCTGTCAGGGAAACACTATGAGGGAAATACAAGGGGCTTGGCTTGGGTGATTAAGTGGAAATGGCATGGGATTTTTCAAGAGGCACAAGGTGGGCAGGCCAGGATGCCCTGAGACCAGGCAGAGTGGGCAGCTGCACAGCAGGACTGTCTCATTGTGCTCATGAGGGCTTAGGCTTTTAGAGTGGAAGGTGGTCTTCAGAAGGTTGAAATTAAGACAGCTTTTAGCAGGGCCTGGCTGTCTATGTCCTCATATTGAATCCAAACAGTGCAGCTTCCTTTCCTCTTTTCTGCCTTTCTTAGGCTATAAGAAGAGTAGAGGAAAAACTACCTGAGGCTGTTTGGCACCCATTATTCAAGCCAATACTGATACAGGGAAGACAGCACTGACATACCCTTAACCCACCTATTGCTGGCATGGAGACCCTGGGGTGATCATAGGGCCCTCATGTGGTCCTCATTGCACCAGTTCTCAAGACTGGGCTCTGCTGTTGGTTCTTAACCCATCTTGTTCTGTCTCACCCTCCCCTTGGAGTCTAGGATCTGTCTTATTTAAGGATGGACCTCTGCTTTCTTGGGTAAAGATGGTCTCTGGGTGAGCATATGCCCATCTGACTTAAGATATCTGGGATTCCCCACTGCTGACCTGGGGTTCCCCCCTGTTGTGCTCTGCAGACCTAACTGGGATCTTACTGTCCCTAAGAATCATCAGGGTCATCAGCCTGAGCCTGTCTGGGTGGATTGTCTGATGTTTCCAGGTCCCTGGGGACTGGCCTCTCAGTCCGTGTCTGTAACTAGTGGTTGGTTGGATCTGATTACTTGCTCTGCTGTGCACCCCTCTCTCCATGCCTGCTTTGGGGCTGGAGTACTGCCATGGGCATGCTAAGTGACAGAACATTACTGCTATCCAGGAGTTCTCTAGTTGAGAAGACAGGACTTATATACGTACCGTGTATACAAGGTATCCTTTAAAATACTTTAAATAGTTATAGTCTTTTAAAAACAACAGAAAGATTACAATAGAGTACAGAATTAGTTGCCAAATATGTTCTACAGTCAATTGCTATAAGAACTTAGAAATTGGGATGATCAAAAAGGGTCGAATTTAAACTTCTGATCTGGGAAAAGAATTATGGGTACATTTCGTATGGGCAGAAATGAAAGAGTGAGGAGGGAGTCCTTATGGGCTCAAATGAGTCTCCCACAGATTCCTATGTTGAAGTTCTAACCCCCAGGACTTCAGAATGTGACTGTATTTGGCAATAGTGCCTTTAAAGGCATGGTGTGGTTAAATGAGGTGATGAGAGTGGACCCTAATCCAGTAAAACAGGTGTCTTTATAGTCAGAAATTAGGACAGAGAAATGCACAGAGGATAAACCACATGAAGACACAGGAAGAAGGTAACTATCTACAAGTTAAAGAGAGATGCCTCAGAAGAAACAACTAGCCAACACCTTGATCTTGGACTCTCCAGCCTCCATAATGGTGTGATAAAATTCTGTTGTTGAAGCCACCCCATTTGTTTGTTATGATTGGCCTAGGACACTAATATGGGTGGCTCATCTGGAAACATCCTCCTCCTCCCCCATTTATAGCAATGCCTCTTGGAAAAATGCATTTTTGACTTTGGAGCAGATGAACATGGACTCCATCCAGCTTGTAGGCTGGGGACTCTCTGTGGCTCTCTGTCCTTTTTATGCCAAGTGCAGGATGGGGTGCAGGAGAGGTTGTTTGCTGCTGGCAATGACCAATGTGTATGCGATGACCCACAGGCTGACTGGGAAAAGAATTA